TCTATCAGAATTGAGTTCATTATATATATTGATATACCTGCAACTCGCCAGAACCTAAAATATAAAATTGAAGACCCATAAAGCTTGTTTGTTTGAAAAGTGGCGTCATTTTTGTGGATGTCCTGATGCAACCTTTTCCTGTGAGTATTGAGCGATGTTGACCTGATACCATATGAGCAAGAATCATATTTTTATTCCTTATTTTGCACATTCTATTATCCTCAAGACCCCTGTTGTAGGTGCAGGCTGATAAATTCCTAAACTCATTTTTTTTAAGCTGATATCTGACAGATTTACAATATTAACATTGTATTAGGAAATCCCTGCCTCTAGCCGCCAGTGAAAGTGGTTCTTTTCTCTGGTCCAGCAGCACTTTGCCACCAGGTTAGCAGTAGTTTACCGGGACAGAAGCCACAGAGGAGAGGAAGTAGTAAAAAAAAAAGCTATAGCAAAGCAGCCAGAAAACCGGCTCGGTGCAAACGGCTCGGTTGAAATGTGGAGGTGATCACAGATTATCCTTTTATCTCCATGACTGGATTTTATTGTTTTATTAAATCATTTTACGACTTTGTTTTCTTAGTTGGATTTATTTATTCCTATTGACCCGCACATGTGATTTTACTTTATTATTCAGGATTACTTTATTGCTCTTAGTTTTGAATAAGCTTATTTACTGTACTTTGCTTTTTCTTTGTTTTTTTAAACACAGAAAGGTTTTCCGCTAAATAGTAAACTAAAGAATTCAAAGATGGAGGAAAAATAAAGACGTTCTGTAGGTTTGATCACCCGACACCTTAGTGAACGGGTCATTTTACACACGTACCATAAAAATATTCTCCACTATCTCATCACCCTCTAAACAAACCAGTAACATTGATTTCTTGCTGCACTTTAAGCCGCCTGTTTATTATGTATTTACTCATATTATTAATGATTTACAGAAAAAGCATTTATGCCGGCAACGTTGCATTTAGTGGTAGTTTTTTTAATTTATATTCTATGGAGCCCTGGAGGATAAAATAAAACAAGCAAGGCAGCATCATTGTTATAATTCAACATTATTTTATATGTTTTGTGAAGAATAAACCAAGAAAAATGTTCAGCCATGGTGCGTAGAAATTATGATGAAGGGAAATGCCCCGAGGTGTGCCTCTAATCACCTTTAACTAAACATTATCTGCCCTCCAAACCTGTGACCATCTCTCCACTGACTTCCTGGGTGTATTATATGGGTGTGTTTTTATTTCCAAGATACGGCTTTAGTTAAACATCGGGATGGATAAGATAAATGTATTTATGGAAATCGCACAGCAATAATTTCAGGAGTGTCACATTTCAGGGTGCAGCAGCAACATAAACTGCTGCTGCACTTAAAAAAAAAATAAACTTAATTAGGCAAAATGCAAGAAATGACGGAGTTTCTGAGGCAGTTAGACAAGGCTAGAATATGTGATTTTGAGCTAATCCTTTTCATTTTAACCGATCAAGCAATAAATTATGCCTGAGGAAAATATTCGTAAACGTTTGTCATTTGCCTATGATTTAAATTTTATTTTATACATCAGCTGAGCCAGGAACTTTCTGATAATTATAGTAGGTCACATATACTTCAAATAACCCTTCAAGATTTGTTGGGACATGCAAAATTAACTTAACATTACAGTCCATTGATAAAAGTTCACAGGCTTGAAGTATCTTCCAGTCAGAGTAACATTCTCATTTTTTCAGTGACATGAGTACATCGACCTAGAATTTTAAAAGGATTAGGAGGAAGTAAACAGTTTTAATTCAGAGATAAGTTTCAACAATAAATACAATAATGGTCTTATTGCAGTTTGGATTTCTGAAAGGTTAGAAGAAATTCCTCAAATTCTTCTCCATATTCAACAGCTGCTCTGTTTATTGTACCATCTTCTCTGGAAATCATTTTACCAAACGACACAAAAAGCAAAGTCTTCATATCTTTTGTTTATAATTAAGGCATTGTATTCCTTACAGGATGTTTATGTACAGTAGAATGCCTGAGGGCAAAAGAAAACATGGAGATTTCTTTGGTAGAAAACCCTAGCTAGGAACAGCCTTAGCTCTAGGTAGCTTTGTTTTTCTCTCTCTCACCTGGGGTCTCTTCCAGACGACATTGCCGATGCGATTTCTCTGGTAGAACAGAGATTGGTCGGATGCCGGGAACAGGAGGTCTTCAAACAGGCTTCCATTCTGCCTGCACCGCCTCTTCAGAGCAGCATAAGACTGGCCTTCATATGGAACTACCATCCCCCCTGCACACAATGAAATGCAAAGCTTGAGATTTTCCCTATGCAAAAACCAGCAGCTCCAACACTTTTTATCATTATAAAGGGATTTCTGTGTGTTGATTTTTGAGGAACTATCTGGACAAAATAAGCGAGCAGGCAGGGCGTGAGCTTCCTGAAGCTGTTTAAGCTTTAAGCCAACACACTGCAGGCAAAACCTCCCATGATGTGTGGATAAGGATCAACAACAAGGATATGCTGCTAAATGCCAGGAGGTCCTGAGAGGTTCAGATATCTTTAAAACATTCATTGTTTTCCTAAACTAAAAATCTGGACTATGCTTGAGCAGGACACCTGCTGGTTATTTGATCCCGCTTTCATTTTGTACATCGGTTTATAAAACTAAAAGATTAAATTGACGGAGGAAAGGCTTGTTTTTAGGCTTCACATATATGCAGCCTAGTCCAAATATTTTGTAGATAAAATGCAACAATTTATTTTCAAGTAACCAAACATCTATTGCTGTAAACAAAGAATCTGTTTCCTCTGAATGTCCCAAGGATGGGTATATTCCAACAGGTTTCGCATAACTGGAAAAGCAAAACCAACAAAACAGGAAAAAAAAAAAAAAAAAGTATATTTTATAAACCAGAAACTATGTCTCATATAAACAGCAAATGGTTACTAAAGAGAAACTTAAAACAGGCTTATTATAGCAGTCACTAATTATATCAGTGTCAAAGAGACCTGAATTTCTGCACTGATAGCTCCCTCTGGTTCCTAAAAAGGTTGTCCAATTAAGTAATGTTGCCCTGTTGGCTTATTGTTCTGTGTTTTGTGTGTTGTTTTTTTCTAAGTAAACTTAAAAGCTTTCTGTATTTATGTATACATCTGTAGTTGTATTTATCGTCTGTATTTATTTATTTTCCAAATTTATTTACCAAGATTAGTAATGAAAGGGGTAGGGCTGAAACAATTAATTGTGATTTATCGATTATTGAAATAATCGTTAACTATTTTAGTAATCAATTAATCGTTAACTGCAGTATAGTGTCTGTAAAATATGCCTTTAGCTGACAGAGCAACGCACTTGGAGCAGTAATTATAACAAAATTGTAAAATAAAATATGTAAACATTTTGAATTTAAGATGAAAAAAAAAGGATTTTCCTCTATCATTATGCTTTTTCCAGAACTCCTGAAGTGGAAAAGTTTTAGTTTTGCTATGTTTAATTTCGTAACATAATTTTCTTCAAGGAACATTTTGTTATCCGATTATTAATCGATTAATAGAGAAAATAATCAACAGTTTAATAGAATTACAAAATACTTTTTTGTTGCAGCCCTAGAAAGGAGTAAACAAGGAGGTGATGGAGCCAAGCAGTCAGCTTTTCCCTGGTGGAGGGACTGAAAACAAAGCGGAAAAGTCAGGAGTGAAAAACACAAAAACAAATATTAGATGTCTGAAGGAATAAGACAGGAGTGGTGCTCAGAATACCATATGAATGCTGGAGTTCATTGAATATCAAGCTAAAGCCTCACAAGCGGCAAAGCTGATGAACGAGTTGAGTACTGCCAGCAGGTGGTGACGGCGTACAGTCATGTTTGTCTGCTGATCGTAAAAGGTGGAAAAAAGGACTAAGTGAGAACTATTCGGATTAACACATGAGGTGTATTGCTTTATTAATAAGTTGAACATGTTCTGAGGATGGACTTTTTCCAAGTGGATCATCAAAAATATTGGTCCTGATTTTCAGCCATTCTGGTGATATGTTTACATAAGGCCGTCCTACGTGCTCGTCCCCATTTTCTCTTGGCGGTGGCGAGTGTGACAAAGTGGAAAAACTGAAAATCTTTTGGACAGTAAGCTTGTATGAGCCATGCAAATACTAACTTTTAAACAGAGCGTGCACAAGGAAAAATGGTTGAGTCTGACAAGGTGGAAAAATTGCCAATCTTTTGGACGGTAAGCTTATATGAGCCATGCAAATAGTAACTTTTAAACAGTGTGCACGAGGAGAAAGGGGTTAATGCATTCTCTCGCACGCATTTTTTTTTTTTAATAGAGAGGACATGTCTTTTGAAAAATTCGTGAAAATCCTCCACTACACCTTTAAGGGCGTGGAATGCAACTTGTAATTAGGTGGAGAGAATAGTGAACAGAACACAGAGAAACAGATTTATAGAAAGAAGGTATATCTGTGTGTTTTAGCAACAAATTTGAGTTTTCCGTCTTTCTGAAGATCATTTTAAATAACATTTCTGATTTTTCTACTGTCATCAAACTTTAACTATGGCAGGCTGATGGAGAAATGAGCAGATGGTCAAATAAAAGGGGGATGAGACGCATAGGTAATGATAATAAACATGTTTTTAGGTTTTAGGTAATGGAAAAATGGACTGATGATTTGACGCATAAGTGCCAGACAGACAGATCGATGTATGTAAGAACGAGATGGACGGATGAGAATTTAAGGGAAAAGGATGGAAAATAAAGTGGAAATACAAATACTTTAAAAACACTTTCCTGTTTTATATGTTGTCTGATATTCAACATTTAAGAACATTGTAAACCTTTGTATTGGGAAACAAGTATTCAACTATTCATCCTAGTTAAATAAACGGAGATCGATGGATTTCACCCAGTCGGCACTTAATTAATCATATATCTTTGCAAAGAGAGGACAGTTCATCATACAGCCCTTATGGCACAGTATTCAGCCCTGTTCTGCCTGAGCAGGATTCATTCCCCCTTACTTACAACAATGGAAAGTAGTCAAAACAAATTACAGACACTTTGGTTAACAGTAACATGTTATGAATAAACCTTGAGAAAGAATCTGGTTTGTTATGGGAAGAAGCAATGTCTGGTCTACAACCATCCTCACGCTGGAGAAGTGTGTGGCCTTGCAGGTGAAACAGAGTGAAAACTTTTATAGTGAGTAAAATAGGATAAATTAATATATGAAATAAGACACCTTGCAGTGATAAAAATTAGCATTTTGACTGAAGTATAAAAGCAAATACTAAACACAGACTTAAACTGTGTTTTCTAACAAAATTTGATTTTTAACATAATTCTAACAAATTAGAAGTTAACAACATGATGAAAATAGAGGTTTTGCAAACAGATACAGAAATACAGTTTACAGAAAAGGAAAGTGTTAGTAAAATCTCTTTCTTAAAGATTAAATTAATAATCTTGCACTTGCTTTTAGATTGGGATGCTTATATATATATATATAAAGCCAGATTGATACCGTGTAGAATCTAAATTGAACTACATGTATTTTCAGCAGTTTGTGAATTCGAAAATCAATTCATTTTGAATTTGAATTTATTAAACCCACCTTAAAATTTTAAGAGAATGTTAATTATGTTTGCTTGTTTTTTAAACACACCCTGATTATAATACAGAAGAAATAACATCAAACATCAGAACAAAAACAAGTTACAATAACAAAATAAAAGAGGAAGTTGGTGATAATGATTAAATCACAACACTTAAAATCAAGCAGAGATTAGTAGGGATTGTTGAAAACCCCCAGAGTGTGTTAGAGCAGAAAAGTCAGAAATGAATAATAAGACCTGCTAAATAGCATGACTGGAAATGACTCATCAAAAGGATGGATGACACAGTTGATTTCATTCCCTTCTTTCATATCACTTTAAGCAATGAATTTACCCTGGCATGTCGCTTTAAAAATAAATAAAACTGAATATAAAATAAAGCATCCTGGGCTGTTCTGAGCCTCCACCATCAATTGAACACAGCCACAGAAACACAGCAAATGATGGGTGTGGTTTCAGTAAGAGCTAAACAACAACCAGAAGTAGATGTTGAAATGTCACAAAAGGTAATTTAATTATTTCTGGGTAAAGGCTGAAGCATCTTAGCTTAAAATCCATCCAGCTAGACTGCATCTTTTAGATATGTGAAGAAATTTGAAAATGTAATTTCGAAATAAAACTAAAAATGAAAAATTAAATTAGTTTACTTAAAAATTGTGAAGGGAAATTGAAAGCATCCTGATTATGTCTTCTGTCTCAACAGATTAAACGGCTAATTGATATTGTTTGAGGAGAAACCATGATTAAACTGAACAAAGCAGATAAAAAGTAACAAAATAAAGTTTTACTTTGAAGGGGTCGGGTTTATTATCATTTTAGTAGAGTTGATCAATTTAACATTACATTTTAAAAGAGAGGCTAAATCAGACAACTGTTAAGGAGCAAATCTCCTTATGATATACAGATGTTCATCTGGCAGTAACGGTCGGTTTGCAATCATTGCGGAGGGATTTCCAGCTGGAGCTCGGATGAAAACAGTTAAAATGTACCTTTTTTTCGCTCCTCCAAGGTAAAACGCGGAGCCTTTCTTCTCTCAACGAGATTAGGTAGCTCCTCTCTGAAAAGTCGCTTCAGAGATGAAGGGTTTTTTCTTCGGTGGTGTAAATTTACTTTACGACCCTCAAAATAAACCCAGGCTGTCAGGAGGAGCTCCACGGAAGCTCTGAGACCAGCAGCCCGCCTTCAGCGTCCACCCCGCCTCGGCTCGAGCTCATTACGTGATGCTTTCAATGTCCGCTCGTAAAAAGTGGATCCAGCTTATATTAATTCTGCATTAAAGCACTATACCCGCTAAAATAGTCTGCTTTGAGTAACATTTACACAAGAATGACTGTTTATGCTTTCGTGTATCAGATTTAGAATTATCCATTTTTTTTTTATTAATCTGCCAAACTTTAAAAATCAGTTTCTCAAATCTGCTACTCAAATGACGATGATAGCATTTTGAACAAGACGTCCTTAAGGCTACACGAAGTAAAAAAAAAAATCATGTTTAGTTCTTATTCTTAAACTTTGTCTAAAGCATGGAAGTGAAGTGGTGCATGCATAGAGCCCATTACTTTTGTTCCCTAGAATGTTCCTCTATTTTAGGACAGGGTAAATAAATATGTTACACTTAATTTCAAGAAAAATAAATCAATGGAACATTACTTAATTAAATCCTAAAGGGAAATTAAATGTTGCAGTAATTTGTAAGGTTTTTGGTTCTTCACAAAAGACATATAGCAGATATGTAGCATCTTGCTGCAAACACTGAAGAACTTAAGCTTCCTCAGAAAGTACTATCTCCTCTGTCCCTTCTTGTAGACGGCTTCGCAGTTGTGTCTAGTTTGTCGTCCAGGTGAACACCAAGGTATTTATACTCTTCCACCACTTCAACTTCTTCTCCCATGATGTTAACAATATTCAACTTGTTTTTGTTTCTTCTAAAATCTACAATCATCTCCCTTGTTTTGTTTACATCCAGGATCAGATGATTGTTTCCACCCCATGCTACAAAGCAGTTAATCAACTCCCTGTACTCAACGTCTTGTCCACCTTGACACCATCAGAACCCAGAGGGAGACCCAGGACAAGCTGGAGGGAGTATGCTTTTCAGCTGGCTTGGGAATGCTTTGGGATTCCCCTGGAGGAGCTGGCCCAAGTGGCTGGGGAGAGGGATGTCTGGGCCTCCCTACTGAAGCTACTACCCCCAAGACCCGACCACAATATGACTTAGACTAACTTTATTGTCATTTTGTATACACAGAGTGTATACACTCTTAAATTAAAAATGAAATTTGTTTTATACAGCTTTCAGACAGTGAATGAGCAACAGCTTAGCAGTGAAAAAGAACATTTCCATGCATAAAGTGCAGCAGTGATCAATTGTTAACAGTGTCGGAGAGACATGGTCCAAAAAGGCATTGATGTGGAACTTCAGAGCAGTGCAAAAATAAATATATATAGTGCTAAAATGCAGTAGAAGACATCTGAGTTGAGATTACATATGGTGTTATCAGTGTGATGCAGAGTTTTGATTTGTGACTTTAGAGTTTTTTCAACAGTTCTGCAGTCTGATGGCCGTGGGGGAAAAAACTGTTACAGAACCTGCTTGCCCTGCATTGAATGCTGCAAAACCTCTTTAAAGAGGGCAGCGGGGGTGAACAGTCCATGGTGGGGGTGTCAATGGTCTCTGATGATGTTACAGCTCAGGACACGCAGTGCTGGGATGAAATGTCTTTTATGGAGGGACCAGGAGCCCCGTTTACTCTTAAAACTTTGCAGACAGCTTCCGTCGCTTCAGTTAGAAAAAGGTGATGAGGTTCAACTCAGACCTAAACCTTCATATGCACATATGCACATATGCAGTTACAGAATTAACCTTCAGACTTGTTCAGCATTAAATGACTAATCTCACAGCAGGATCAAACAATAAAAAATCATGCATTTAACTTAAGTAAATTTGATTTCTGCAACAGTGTTTTCACAGCTCTGTCTACAAAGTTGATCAGACATCTGCAGCTCAGCCAGAAAGCTCTTTAATCATATGCGCTCTACTTTCTTAGTTTTAAGGTGATGTTACACCTAAGTCCTTATATCTGTTAACGGTGCTTCCACTTTTTGGTACACATTTTAACTGGGTTTGTGCATAGTTTGACTTTGTAGTGATGGAGTAGGAATAATCTCACTCTTTTAAATATTGGTAACCCCTTTTCATGAAGCTTAAGATTTTATATATATTTAAATTTTCGAATAAAGACCAAAAGGTCTGTTAAGATTATTTTAATTGATGATGTGTGAGTCTGTTAAGCCCTAATAATGCCTGCCTGTTTTGTGTCAAAACTAATATTTTCCCAAGTAGTTTATGTAATTAGGTCAGTTTTTCTGTTCTGTCAGATAGATATGGAGCCATGGATGTCTCCTCATTTACAAATGTTTATGATACAATGATGAGGAACACTGGAGTTGTATAAAATGCTTCTTTAACCGTGATTCTGGGCCAACCGCAATGAGAAGCTGGTTAGCGCTGCCATCTGTAATCAGAGGCAACATCTCTGGACTGATATACAGGTATGTATAAATATAAATATCAATCTATATAAATACCCATGTAAACCCCCTGCTCAATAACCCAGTATAATGACCCTATTAAAAAAAAAAAAAAAAAAGCTGTCATACATGGGCACACTGTATATATCCCCTACACCTTTTTCTTTCTTTGGCACCTTCTTTTCTTTAAAATACATTTCCCTACTGTGAGATCAATAAAGTCAGTCAATCAATCACTGTTTATTCCTATTACTGTTGACTAAGACACCAGTTGTTCAGCTGAAATAAACTTCAATTTTAAGGGGAGTATGCAAGCATTACTAATAATTCAATAAAACTATTCTGTATTTAGAAAGCTTAATCAGCTAAGATATTATTTATTTGTATTTAATATAATTCTTATTATTTTATTTTATATTTTGTTACATATAAACATTTAATAAAATTAAACCTCCAGCAGAACCCAGTCCTTTGTATGTCGTCTTTTTTTGGGGGTTAAAGGAGGCACACTAAAAGAACATACCGTAAAAGCGCTGATCCATAAATACTTTGTTTGTTAGAAACACTGATCTCTATTTATTCACTGAATTGCTGATTGCCCGAAAAAGTGATGCCACTGGCCGGCATGTTAGTATTCCCCACTCACACCAAGTGTGCAGTAAAAATGCCTACTTGTGTGGCATTTGACTGCAAAAACAAGCAGTTTGCCAGCTGTGGGAAAACGTTTCACAGGTAATTTAGAGTCAGTGGGTGTACTAAACAAGAAAAGCCACATATACGCCAATGTGTCCTATATTATAATATGTAGCGTAACATTAGTCTGGCTATCGGACTGACTCGAAGACATTTGACTTTGTGTTTAACCTTAGAAAATAGAAAGTAATTCACTGGGAAATGTCTATATAGTAATTCTTTATTAAGTGGATGATGCAGTCGTTTTTGTACTGTTTGTTGTATTTCTCATTTGAAAAAGTCATGTGCTGAAAAATATCACGTGTTATATTGACATTAACATTTTTAAAGGCTATTCATAGACAGAGCATAAAAGTATATGCCATCATTCATGCACAATTTACAAGTAGGAAAATACAATAGCGTTAGCAGACATGTACTTGTAATTCAGTCTTATGTAAAATTTTTAAATTATATGTAATATGTTATAACAACAATAATGTCATCAACACATGTATATAACATGAACATCATTAATATAGTACTTTTGGCATTTCAGTATTATCAAGCTCCATTAACACATCAATTTTGTTATTACATGATTTTAAGACTTCATAATCACTATGCAATGTGATGGGCCTATCTTTTTTAATTATAAATCAAAGTAATCTACTTATGCTACTAAAAGTCTTAAGTCCCCCTGAAAATTAGAACATCATCTTTGTTCAATACTGTAGCGCACATATTGTTTACATTGCAGGTAGGGAGTAGCAATACGGCGGCCGGTGGCTTCACTTCAACGCCCTACTACCAAGGGGCAATCAGCAATCCAGTGAGTAAATAGAGATCAGTGATTTTTTTATTTACTCTTTTTTTATCGCAAAAAACCTCCCATACATGAACAATATAGAGTATTAATAATTACAAACATATACAACAACATAGGGCTTTACAGAACAGAACTATTATTTTAAAATGTCAAAATCAAATCTAATCTACGCTCGAGGGTTATAATTCTTGTAGGGCAGTTATAATTTGCATGGTTTTAGCATTTGAACTAAATTCTAAGGATTCTATATAGATATTAATCTGGAAATTAGGTTTTTATTGTAAATATTTGGAGGTGTGAATATGATATTTACCATAAATAATAAAAAAAATGTATAACATATAAAAATTCTGTTTTGACAAGTTCACATTTTTCCATCCCAAACAAAACATCCTTATCTGTTAACCCTGTAAAACCCAAATATAGAAAAACACTAAAAAAAAATTAAACCACTCAAATGTTGTGGTAGGAGGCCTTTCAGGCTGAAAATAAAGTGTTTTCAAAAATGTTATGTTTTAGTAAGTTTTTACAGAAATGTTGTAATATTGTAACATTGGGCCAAATGGGGAGCAGAATTTACCATATATGAACAACAATACAGAACTATGGAATCATTTGCAGGGTTTTACTTTTTTGATTTGATTTGAAGTGTTTACATATTGCACTAAAGTAACCTATTCACACATTTCACTGGTCACACAATACTGTGTGTCCGACCAATTCTAAACTCTGATTATCATCAAAATAGGAATCCAAGTAGCCTCCAACTTACAGCCACACCTTACATTCGTGATCATCAACCCCTGTTCCAGAGCAATGCAATGCAAAGGCCCCTCCAAGCATCCCCCACACCTGCTTTGACTATGAATTGATTGGAACATTTCCTTATCAATAGCCAAGACAAAGGGCAGACATGCACAACATGTCTCTTGTGTTGTAGACATGTTAGAAAGCCCTGTCTCCTGTGATAAGGGAAAAATACTGAGTGTTGAAGGTGGTTGGAAATCCTTATCAGTAAATTAAAATGATTAGATATGGCAATACATCCTTGTATAGTAGGTTTTAACTCAATAATATATATAATCCAATATAAGGCTAAGGGCTAGAATGTGTAAATTATGTGTGGTTCAAAGTTATATCGAGA